CCAAAAATGAATGCCTGATTTTGCATTACTCCCGAAAAGACAAACGTGTCAGGGGGAATATTAATTTTAAATTTTACTTGTTTACACAGCTATAAAAGAAAAAGTACTTGTGAAAAATTTATTTTTCAAACATGTTTTAGAAATGTTAAAGTCCTATATTGAAAGGTGTGTAGATGAAACGCCATGTGACTGTGTTCTAGGAATAGATAAACATCCCCTGATGTCAGCTGGGCTCAGTACCGGGCCTGACAGACTCAAGGGGTTAAATTTATGATTGGGAATGTATATATTTTCTAAGTCTTTTAGTACATGTGTGATTATTTAAATAAATTCTAGAATTTTTTTTTTTTATATACAGATTTAAATGATCTCCTCTACATGTATTTGAAGCGCTCTGCCTTCTTGTTTCAGATTGTCCTGCAGACCTTATTATCATTTGTGATGACCTGTTATGGGATTGTCCACATTGCTGGAGAATTCAAGGACATGGATGCTTCCTCAGAGCTGAAAAACAAGTAAGAGAGGCACATCTGTCCCCTGATGCAGGAGCTGTTTGTGACCTGGATCACAAGGGAGCATTTATGGGTGCCTCTGAGGAGCCTTTGAATCTAGAAACACACCAAACGTTCATCATGCAGGTTTTAATCTAAGGTCAACCAGCCTGATGCACATATACAAACAGGCCGTTCTCCAATTTACCTTTTCTCTTCGGAGTTTTGGATAAAGTGTTTTTTTTTTTTTTTTAAATCAACTCAGTGCTTTTAGAAACTTGTCTGTGTGGAGTTTCGTAAAATTTTTTAAGACCACACTTCATAACTTTAATCTTTTACTTTAGACTCAGGAAATCTTGTTGTTTTAGTGCCTTTATCAGCAGCATTTGCTACTCTAGACCAGTTTGGTTTCGACTCATTTCAAGTCATAACCATCTCTTCCTTAACAGTTTTTTGGGGTTCCCCAGGGGTCCAGGTGGGGCCCATTGATAATTGTTATAATTTTTTTTATGTTGTATTTTCTGCTGCTTGAGTCTATCTTTATGAACTTACTATTTCGTTGTTTTGCTGATGGCAGTCTGATGTCAGTTCATCTAAACAGCACTAATGCACTGCTTAGCTGTTGGGTTGAAATTAAAATCAAATTATTTTACATTATTTTTACATTTTATCAAACTCAGCCAAAAGAAGACTGAGATGCTGTGTTCTGGCAAATCTAATGTCAGACTAATTTCAGCAGATGCTCTTTGTTCTTTAACTACTAGCAGTAACTCTACAGTAAAGAATAGGGCTTTTTTTCTTCTTTTAGAGAAAAAAAAACAAGCTCTGTTTCTGAGCCCAGCTCTTTTCATTTACAAATAACCGCTAAAGCAAAACCTCAGCCCTCTTATAGAGATCTAGAGATGCTTATTCCTGCTCTTACCACCTCTTGTCTGCACCATTATATCGGTCATCTCTGCAGCATTTTAAAAGGAGGAACACTTAACATGCTTTATTCTCTCCATTGGCTTCCTGCTCATTAATGTATTGATTTTAAGGGTGTGTTGTTCACTTTTAAGGCTTCAATCAGCTTAGCTCCATTTTATCTTTATCTTCTGTACCTTTGAGAGTCTCCAGCAGCCAGTATCTCATCAGGGTTCAGATGTCCAAGTTAGAAGATGAAGGTGATCAAACATTCTCTGTGAAGTAAATTACCTCTACATGTTAGAAGGGACTCGGCTGTGTCGTTTTATAACCGCCAGTGCAGAGCTTGCCCATTTAACAGAGTGAGTGTTTCTTCATCTATAGTTTGACTGAGACTTTTGATATCAAGAAAATAAGCAAGAAAGCAACGTGTCCCAAAAAATAAACCATGGATATTCTTCCAGAACTTCCCGGATTGTATAGCAGAGGACGTGATATCCCATTTAAACCCAGTATCAATCAGCTTTTAGTGGCAGTGGGAACAGCTCACTGACCCGGGTCAAACAACTCTGCAAGCGACCGGCATTAAAATCGCTTCGGCTCTGATCGGCATGCAGTGGGAGCATTAGAGTCAGGCCATTGAACGCAACGTACGGACGTCAGCACGCCGCTCCAGTTGATTCTGATCTGACAAGCTGAAACATATGTTTCTATAAACATGGTGCAGCTCTGGTAAGAGGGGTTCTGGCAGAAAAGCAGTTTGCCACCTGGGGGTTTAGATCCAGCTTTTTGCTAATGGGAAAGGAGCCAAATGCAGATTGTTAGCTGGTTGAAAAACCCGGTTAACCCGCTAATTTCAGTCAGAAAGAGGCTTAAGAAAGTTATTTTCTCTAAAAAAAGCTACTTTTCTGTTGTTTATGGTCATCTGGAACAATCACTCTCTGGAGAAGAAAGTGTGACTGATATAATTAGTCCTTTGCTACGAGGACAATGAAGCTGGTATGAATGAGTGGAATCTAAGCATCCTGCAGTATCACAGAGAAACTTTTACTAATAATAATTTCACAGGGGCTGATTTTTCTTGAAAGAACAAAGAAATGAAAGTGACTTTGAAAATCCATCTAAACCCAGGAACAATCGGCTTTTAGTGGCAGTGGGAACGGCTCAGTGATGCACGTCTACCCAGGTTAAACGACTCGACAAGCGACCCTCGTTAAATCACCTCGGCTCTGATCAGCATGCAGTGGGAACAACAGATGACCTGCGGAATTACGTGGTATCATTGAACGCAGCGTACGGATATCAACACACCGCACCAGTCGCTTCTGATATAACAAGCTGAAACAACTCTGCTTACATTTGATAAACAAGGAGCAGCTCTGGTGGGAGCGATTCGAACAGATACTAGTAAAACAATTAAGCACAGTTACTACGCCCTGGCTTCCTTACATGTTTCTCTCCACTTGATTTCTGTCGCACTCGTGACATCATCAGCACTAAAGGCTAGTTTATGCTTCGAAACCAGGTCGTCTGCGTGTGTCACAGCCCAGCGTGATGGAGTCTCCAGACATGCAGACGCAGGGGGACAGAGGCCATGCAGCGAGGGGTTAAGGGATGGTTATACTCCTTCAATCCATGTTTGACAAACCTGGGTTAACATGTTATTTTCAGTGAGAATGAGGCTATTGAGTGTCAGCTGACATATTGAAAAATTCTAATTTTTAAATAAAAGCCTTTTGGCATTGAAATTGATTTAAATTGACATCAGTACACCAAAGAAATGTCTAAAGTTAAAAGATACAATTTACAACTTTATTTTTTTTTTTGTCTTTTATGGTAGAGACTGTAGTCACCAGTTTTTTTTCTGCCACCTGTTTAATAGTGCACAGTAACAAGTGGGGGAGGGGCATCAGTGGGTTTTTGCTCTAAATGAAAAGCTGTGTTGTTTCTTTCCTCAGAACTTTTGACACGCTGAGGAATCACCCGTCGTTTTACCTCTTCAACCATCGAGGTCGAGTTCTGTTCCGCACACCAGAGGAGGAGCCGTCCACGGCACGCAGCCAGCAGGCCCTTCCCAACCCCATCAGGTTACGCAAGCTGGAGCATTTGCACTGAGACCAGCCTCTCCTGCCTCTGACCTCCTCACCGCCCTGATAGGATTTGTTTTTGTTAGACAAGGCGAAGGAGAGAGTCTGGGAACTTAACTTCTTCCACTTAAAGTTTTATTTATTAATAAACTAATATGCTGTCCAAGTTTGCATCTGTGTCCATGAAGCGGTGACCGCCATAATCAACACTGACTGTGCCAACCAGGTTTTCCATGCAGATTTGTTTGTATATATGGTACAAAGTTATGGCTTTAGAGTCTTAAAATATTCATGTGTTTCTTTCATTCAGACTAAATCAGAGTAGTATTTTCCTTTTATGTCTTTTAATTTTTCTATGACGGTTTGCTACTGTTTAATTACTGCTATCCATGGCGAGTTTTGATTTAGTCACAAGATTAAAACCCCGTTTTTTCACCCTGGGGGGGACTTGGATTTAAGCTGCAGAGATTAGCTAAAGGAGAAAAGTGAGATCAGAAAACAATTGTTGTTCTAATTATACTGTTAACACAGTAGAATTTCAAAGAAAAACTTTTGTTGTCGTTTTTTTTCATCCATCATGCATTTTGTTAAACTCCTACAGACTGTTTTTAATTTAATAAAGTTCATACTGGTTTTACAAATCGAATGCTCTTATTTTAAAATGTTAAATTACTGCAGTTTTTTTTTTTTTTTCTTAATGAAAATAAAATTTTATACCCATATAGATAAATAATTGGACTTCAGGAGCAATGAGGTTGATGCAAGACTTCTGTATCATAAGATTCAGGAGTTTGTGATTTTGGACACTAGGGGGCAGCAGAGCAGCTAAGCACAAGTAGAGCCTCTGCATGAATTTATTTTGAAGGTTAATGTAGTCAAATTAATATGAATTAAAAAAATTAAATGATGCAGATTATTTGCACCAACAGACTAATATAACGTTATTTACAAATTAATTTTGTTTTAAAGATTAAGTAAGAGCAATAATAGTGGAAAAAAACCTAAAAGAATTCATGCAGAAGAAATGCTTTTCATAATTTTTTTGACAACTTATGAAACCATTTCTTAAAAGATCAAAAGTAAGCATAATAGAATTTAGTATGCTACCTCTACCTACAATTTGTACTTTTTTGACTGTAAATTATCCTGACCTCCATATCTGAGCAGATAAAATTTAAAAGATTGTGAAAAAAGAATACCTTTCTAGTGACACTTTGTCAGTTCCTGGTGTATCTTAGGTTTAACTGTGGTTCTTTTTTCAGTAAAATTAAAGTAGGTAGAGTTCTCAAAGATTTTACGGAAATAAGGGTAGCAATATTCAATGATAAATATTTTAGTCTATTGAAACTACTAAAAGTAACATCTTATGCAAAAAGTTACTCAAGTAAATGTAGCTAATTACTACCCACCTGTTAAAAATATATACATATATATGTACTTGTGTTTAAATGTTTACTGTAAGATAAAAACATGAACACAAATCAGTAAACACCACTTTATTATAGTTTTTATTTAAAAAAAAAAAGATCTTAAAACTTTGCCTTTATATGTATTTTACAGTTTACAAAAAATGGCTTCCAAAATATTTCAACTCTTACACAAATTCACAAAAATAATCTATATTACCTATGAAGGTTAGAAAGTAGTGTACGTATCGTTAGAAACAGACAGATAAAGAAGATGGCCGACCTTGGCTGTTAACTGGAGGGAGAACGTCAGCTGCTGGGCACCAGGGAGTAAAATCTGCTAGGAATACTGTTAGGATCAGCTCATTTCTGCTTAGATGGGGGGATTAAAAAAACAAATAGTTTTAATGACTTCTAATCAGTAATATCAGTAATCCATCCCCATATTGAGGAAAGAAAAATCCTCGAAGCTGCAGAAAAACAAAAATCAAAACAGCAGCATCTTGAGATCACCTTAGAAACCATCCTGGTTGTTTCTGTCCTACCATCACAAACGTAAACCCAAAGAATTAAACCAGGCGTGGTTCAGCTGGATGAGACTTTGCTGTGAAACAACGGATGAATAGATGGAAGCGTGAAATGACGGAGGTCGTTTCTCTTCAATAAATCCCGCAGACGAACGGTAAGTTAAACATTTTGGTTCCTCTAGCAGGAAAATAAGAAGAAATGTATTCCATATTTATAGTTTTATTGTGTGCTTTTTTCACATAGTAAAAAAAAAAGTGGAGGCCGTTGTAGCTGGGAGAACCGTCTCATCTCCATGTTCTATAATACTGATGCAAACAGATGCTGGTGAGGAATTTACACGTTTAAAACTTGACAATATGTCCACAAAGTAAGAGAAGTGATCCAATTTGGATATTTAAAATGTACATATATATAAAAAACAGAAATAGAATATTTTTGAATAGAAAAAAAAAAAATACTGACTGAGGTTGAGCAATATGTCGGTAAGCTAATAGATACTACGCTGATCCTGACTGCAGCAATATGGGCTACTAACAATACATGTCAAGTCCAAAAAGATAGCTTTATTTTTTGTTTGCAATTCATTTTTTTAAAAGAACAAGGATTTTTTTGACTTTGTAACGTTTTTACTGTTTTCCTGTATTTATTTTTAGTCATACATTGATGTTAATGGATGATAGAAGAATACAAATTAAGGGTAAAGAAAGTTTTAGTTTGTGAAACTCTCATAAGAATACTGATCATTGCCTCTATATATAATAATAAAGCTTATTTTACTGCCTGATTACATGAGCTCGAAAGTTTCTTTGTAACTTTATTTAAGCTGTTATTTCCTTTTTTTCAGCTGAATTCCCAGACTTTATATCAACACATCCTCATTTTAGCTCACAGACTTTATCCATATAGCACAACCCCTCCTGCCAACATGTCAGTATCAACTAAAAATAGTCAGACATTAGGTAACAGGATCAGCGTAGATAAAAAAAAAAAACGATAAATAAATAAACTACAAGCAGTGCGCCATTTTTGTTGCAGATGTAATCTGCATTAAGCTGATTCCTTCTGTCAGCTCAATCCTGTTCCTTCTTTATTACAAGTTTAAAAGAGGAAATGCTTTTCAGACCAGCTGAAAAAAGGTCTGTTTGTAGAGGGAGGGGGAACAGGGACATATGATGGATCTCCTGAACGAGTCCTCACTGATAATTTGGGCTGATCACGAGAGCAGATGCCTTTAGTGGTGATGAAACCCTGTAGCAATGAAAGCATGCTCCAGGAGATGGGGGGGTAGGTTCCTGCAGTCACTACCTTCCGTGGTCATTGGGAAGCGGCGAACGTGGGGCTTCGTCCCCCTCCAGCTCAGCCAGGGCCGTCTCCAGCTGCTGGATCAGTACTCGCTTTTTGAACCTGCCGGAAAGAAGCAAACTTCATCACAGGGAGGCAGGAATCAAAGAGGAAGTGTGAAGTCTTTGAAATCAGGGTCTAAGGCATCCAACACACTCAATCATGGAGGCTGGAGAATCACATTTCCCTCCAGTTATAGCTGCAAGTTTTCTGCTGTATGTTACAAACAATGTTTAGATGTGGACTTTTCAGCTTGTTCTTGCTTGAACACCAATCTCTAATTGTTGCAAAACGTTATCAACAATTGAAAACCAGATAAGTCGCTTTCTCTTAAAATAAGTGCATTTGTTCTTGGATTGAGGAGGTAAAAGAGGCATTTTGCCAATGGAACAAGACAATTTAAACTTAAAATAAGAAAATAGCATTGTCTTTTTTCAAGTGCATATTAGCTAAATACTAATTCCATTGGCAAACTATCTCATTTAGCTACTCAAATTAAGGGTAAATACATTTATTTCAAGACTGTTTCTCCAGTGCACTCTGCTATTTTCTTTAAGATTGTTCTGTTTCAGCTGCATCCACGTCAGCATCGTGATTCACACTGGATAGTGGTGAGGTCAAGGTCATGTGTTAGCGTTAGCTTCCCACCATATTTGCTGTGTTTTCAGCCTGACTGGGCTTCTTTTCCATACTTTTCTTTATGTGTAAATCAAACCAGAATTCACAAAGATCTGTACATAATGCAGATAAAACGTAACAAACCTGGTCAAGCAAATAAGTTTAATATAATTCCAGTGACTTATTAAATTGGGCTCATATTGAGTACATCAGGAGTACAATTCGTAAGAGTATAAGGAAATTGTATAAAGTTAAGGATTTCTTAAATTATGCCTCATTATATATGTTTTACAATTCCCTAATATTTCCATATTTTGGGAATTATTTTTCCCACAAGTCTGGAGTGATACCTATTCAAGTAACAAAACCTTTGTTAAATAAAAATGCATCAATCCTAATTTATTACTTTTTTGGACTGTTAAAGTTTAAAGATTTGGTTGATTTAAATGACTTTGAATAATATGTGCAAAGCCAAGCAGAGAATGCTACCTATAGCTATAAAAATCTATTTACTTTTCTATCCAAATAAGATGGCCATAGAACTGCTTTCTTACACAAACCCATTCAAACAAATGAGTGTGTCCGTCTATGGAGTTAAGCTGTGGAACACCCTGGATTAAACAGGTGACAGTTTGTAAATTTAACAAACTATATAAGAATTACATTTTGTAATTATTATGTTGTAATTATTAATTACGTGCATATATATAGAAGACGTGATATTGTTTAATAATTGGATTAGGGTTCATGCACATTCATAATGCAGCTGTCTTTCCTCGTCTTTAAGATGTTTGAAAAGGGACAGTTATTAAAAGATTTTTCTTCTTCTTTCTGTTCCATTTTTGTTCTTGGAAAAATAAAGAAAATGTTTGTATCATGACAGTGATGTCCTGATCTTATTTTCTGATTTCTGATATGATACAGATATTGCGGCTTTGAGAATTGGCCGATACCGATATTGACCTCATATAATATTAGCACAAATGAAACCGGCTTTTATCACTTTTATCACTTATTACTTACTAATACAGGGAAGAAACTTCATCAAAAAAAGGTATGAAAACAACTAACCCACATAAAAAATAAGCAATGAGTTACAGAAACCTGTAACAGAAGCAGAGTTTTTTTCAATCAGCATGAAAATATTGGAAGTTTTATATGCTGGCCAAAAAAATCCAATATTGGTTAATTGGCTGATATTGGACCAATATCTGAAATTAGCATCAATCGGGACATCCCTAATAATAAACCCAACCCAAAATTTAAAGGCATCAAAAGAAAATATAAGGATGATTAAAAGAGACTAGTTAATTAAATAAAATCCAATCTCTCATAATTTACAAATGCTTTTGCAAATAGGTGTGTTTTGCTAATAGAGAGTTTTTCTAAACTTGCAAAGGGATTGTTTAACATGTATGTTTAACATGCGACTACAGAGAAAGCTCTCAGTTTACCCTCAGGCCCTGATCTTTAGTGTCTTTAAACAGGTGCAAACGTCTTTGTATGAGCAGAACAGATCTTCACAGAAGGTGCAAAGACATTTATGATTGCTAGTTAGCAGACAGCGTGTGCAAACCCCTTAATTTGCCTTCTGCCTTCTTAAATATGCAGATCATATTCTAATGACCGAAACACACAAACTAATGAATGGAGGATATGCAATTATAAACATTTACTAAATGTAAATCAAAGTGGCTGCAGTTTTTGAGCCTTTTTTAATACTTTTAAGAGTCAGGTGCAAACTGAGAAGCAGAAATATCTATGGTCACAGCCAGACAACACAGAGAGTCTGCCAAAAATTCTGTAAACTCTAGGGGAGTGTTGGTCTAGTGGTTAGAGCAGCGTGTTTGTGCTCTGAGAAGGTTGTAAGTACCCGGTTCAATCCCCACAGCCTGAACGCTGGGTCTCTGAGCAAGACCCTTAACCCCCGATTGCTCCCCGGGTGCAGCTCAGTGGCAGCCCACTACTCCCCAAGGGGATGGGGTAAATGCAGAGGTAAATGTCTCCAATGTGAGATCAATAAAGTTAAATTATTATCAATTAATATTAAACATCTATGGACCGTCATAAAAAATAATAGAAGAATCATATTATAGAAGAAAACTTCTATGCAGGTGGGCAAGCAGAACAGCAGACAGCATTTATATAATTAAACCAGAAACCCCCCAAAAAGGACAAATATTGAAATATTTTGACATATTAAAAAAATAGGACATCAAAGAGCCTCGGAAACATTATTTTTTATCTTATTTTTTGGACTATACGTTGCTCCGGAGTTTAAGTCGCATATGCCAAAAAATGCATTATGAAAACGAAAACAAAAAACATATGTACTATCGGACTAAAAGTCGCACCATTTTGAAAGGTTATTCTATCCATGGAATCCGTGTTCTAATAACGGCCTTGTGGTAGGCTACTGCTCAAAGATCGCATTGTTTATTTCATGAACCAGCATCTGAGAAGCAGTGATAATCACTCAGAGCACTATATCAGATCAACACTAGAGACAAACAATAAAGTGTTTCTTGAAAGAAGAAATAGGCCTATTTCAAAAAAACGCAAAACATTGTCGTTGTTGTAATGCTAATTTGTTGTGTTGTGGTAAGTTTTTTTCTTTCAGTGGTATTAATAGAATACATGTTGTTGTGTGCAAAGCTACATAGCGCCCTCTCATGTTAAAAAAAAAAAAAAATGTATATATGTCGCAGAGTATAAGTTGCATGGCCAGCAGAACCATGAAAAAAAAGTGCAACTTATAGTCTGAAAAATACGATATATGTCTGCATCAACTTTCAAAAATTTCATCATGTTTCATTTTTTTCGATTAAACTTTAGTCTCATCACCTTATTAATTTACTTTTGTGCGTAGCACTTAGAGACCCATGTAAAGTGCTCTATAAATATTATTTATTAATAAACTTTTTAAATATTTTTTATCATTATTACCTACATCTCCAGGCTTAGAACCTCATCTTTCTTTTAGGACCCCGCTAAAGCTGCCTGTTGAACAAGCAATCTGCTCATTTTAAAGTGTAGAACCAAACAGATTTGCGCAGCAGTCTTTGCAGATCACCTTCAACACGCCCATTTGTTGCACTTTATTTTGGCCTCAGATGGAAGAAGCTGGATTTGGAAATGCCCTTATTTAAATTCCTTCTGCAAGCCTTTCATAAATGTCATGTTTTTTAGAGCGTCTTGCCAACAGCTCCCACCAGGATCTATTGGGAGTGTCCTCCTTGATAAACCCTCCAGAGATGCTCTGCTCACTGCTCCGATTATTCCTCAAACTACAGTGATTCAAGGAAAAAACATGTGGAGCTTAAAAAGATCAGGAAGAGCTTCTTGCTTCTTACCTCACAGCTTCTTTGATTGCATGTTGGATGAAATACTTCTGAACATTGACTGGTCCCTTCACCTGCTGCAGCAGACTGAGAATGGATTTGTAGTCTGAGATAGAAACACAGATTTAGATTAGAACTGACTGAACGTTTTGATGGGACCCAGTCGGCTGGTTTGTACTCACTCCGTCCAGGTTTGCGGACCTCCTTGATGACTCTGCTCCGTAATTCTGCCTGGCAGCCATCCAGCGGGGTGATGTAAACAGTGTGGAGTCCGGTGAGGTCATCCTCAGTGTCCTCCAGCTCGCTCTGTGGACTAAGGCGGTCGCAGTTGTGGCTTTCCTCCATCTTCAGCTCTTCTAAATTATCATCCACGAGCTCGCCCTCCACCATGCTCGCTCCGTCTTCCTGAAATGTTGTCACTACTGCAGGCTTTTCCTTCAAGATCAAGGAGGATGGGTTGAACACCTCTGTTTCCACCTCAGAGGGCCAGACCTCACCAGAGTCCAGGGCAACATCACCGTTGCTCTCGGTGACCACCATGTTGCTTCCATCTGCTCCTAGAAAAGCAATAAAAACATGAACCTGCAAAGTTTCTCCTTCTCCTGACCAACACTTAAAAACCAGGCCACGTGTGCCTCTTGATCCCACCTTTGTGCTGTGGAGTGGGTTTGAGGGGGCTCTGCTGGCCTTGAACCCCTGCTGGACTCTTTCCCATCAGCACATGGTTGTTGCTGCCCGGTGGAGTCTGAGGCCACCGCAGCAGCGGGGACATGCTGCGTCTTCGCTTCATGGTGCCACTGGAGTTGGAATCACCAGAATGTCCCCTTTTCTTGTTCTGGGGGCCTGCTACAAACTCGTCTGCCTCGTCAATCATCATACCCTGGGATAAACAGGACAGAAAACAACACTGTAGAGCAAAAACAACCCACCTGCCTTTTCATAGCAGAACAGCATCAATATCTGGGTAACATATTAATGTGAAAGCATTGAGAAGAAAAACAAAGCTTAAAAAGACGCTTTGGATTAAGATTATGCCTGTTTATGATCAGAGACATAAAACTAACTTTACTCCACTGCTTGTGGACATTAAACTGGAACTGGAGGATGTTACTAGGGCTGAGGCTGATGACGTTTCACAAGCACATGAGAACGCACAAGTATACATATTGAGAAACTGCTCTTCAACCCCTGAATGATTGTCTTAATCTACATGAGGAAAAGCTGGCAGAGCGACAGTGAGAAGGACCAGTGCCTGGAGCTGCAGCAAACGGTGCTTCTAGAAATAGAATCATCTTTCTTCCTTCCGCTTAACTATTCTGCACCACTTTGCTTTCTTCTGTCACATTAAAGCCCAGACACATTTATATCTGTGGTTATGAGTTGATAAAAATGTGGAAAAATTCAAAGCAAATCTGTGTGTGCAGAAATTAATTTGTACCTTTTTATCTTGCTTGAAAGGATTCCCGAATGTGTGGAGTCGTTTAGGTTGATCAGGATCGATCTCTCTCAAAGGCGAAGGCATCATCTTCAGATACTCCTGATAGTTTCCCATCTGGGCCACTGGAATACTGTGCAGGAAGTCTAGAAACAGCAGCAGGAATCCATTTATTTATCAATTAAGTCACATTACTGGTTGTACTGGTTATGTGTGTGGTAAAGGTGGACCGATGCATCAGCCGGCTGATATTAGGATTTTTTAAATCTATTTATTTTTTTTTATTATCATTATTGGCTGATCTTTGCATGCATTCGCTGATTTATCAGTGCATTAAGCAGCCATGCATTAGATCACATAGAGCGCATGTATTACTGCTCCCTCCATTTACTCTAATTGTTCTGTTTTCTTTGATTTGTAGAAAAAAATATTGTTTTGTATAAATTTAGACTTTATGTAATATTTGTCAGTTTTCAAGTTTATCATGTAAATGGAGGAATAGAGAACGATACTGGCTTTAAAACCCGACAGCACATATCAGAGACCGGTTAGACTGATACCAAAATACTTGGTATCGGGTTTAAAAAAAACAGTATCCATCGATCTTTAATGCATGTATTGTTCAAAGACATGAATCGCTCTCAGCACAGAAATGAGACTGGGTTAAGAAGCTACTGCAGGAGTATTCTACCTTCATCTTGACCTCGGATCAGTTTTAACGAGGTCCGCAGCAAATTGGTGCGCATTCTGGTGAGCTGATCCAAAAGGTTTCTTCTTGGGATGTCATAGGCGTTTCGGTAAGCTTGAGGTTTTACATCCTGGAAGCACACAAGGAAAAGCACTCTGTGAACAGTCTCCTCCCAACCTTTCGCCAGAGAACAGGAGGTGTGCTGTAATGCAGCGGAAATAGCTTTGCCATCCAAAATCGACCTTATTGAGAAGAGCGATCTGGAAGCCTGCAAACTCTTTGAAGTTGATGTCGACCAGGCGTAGAGGCGTCTCCCCGGTGATGCCCTGCAGTAGCTGCCTAAAGTCCCGCCGGTGGGCCAGAGAGAGGGAGTTGGAGTGGTTCTTCACTTTTATGCCAGTTTCTTGAGGTGCCTTCTTCCCCACAGACACGATTAGACGGTCCGATTCAATTTTAGCCTTTATTAAAACAGAAAAAGGAAACACAAAACACAGCAGAAGATGGAGAGAGTTAGCAGAGCGGAGGCTAAGCCAGAGGATCCAATTTACTCTGATAAAATGTAAATAAATTAATTATTTATTCTAAAAGAGTCAATATATTTGCTTTTTTCTGGACAAAGAAATTTAAAAGGTACATATAAGGATATTTATAAGTACTCTAGCCAGATGCTTTGAGTTCTTTCACTGCTTCACCTCTTCCAGGCTGTTTTAGACTCTAACAGACTTAAAGCCTTAAGGAGACATATGACTAAATAATCAGTTTACTTCAAGATATTACCTTAGAAACTTCAACTATATGCTTCTGTGAACTTAAGATCAAACACAGGTAGGGCTGAGCTAGCCTAGCTTAGTAAAATAGCCTCACCCGCCAGCGGCCAGAATAATTTTGCCTGCTAGTGGTCTAGCTTCGATCAATGCCCCAGGCCCTAGAACTGGTGGGCCAATCACAACGCAGAGATGTGTTTTGAATTTCTGGATTCAAAGTGGGCGGGGTTTTGAGGGCGGGACGACAAAGCTGCGCGATGCTGGAGAAAGCACAAGGAAGATGGCAACAACTATTGAACAGTTCTCGTTTGTCTCAGCTTTGGAATCAGTTTTGGAAGGATTAGATTTGGGGTTTTTGTTGAAACATGAGCAGGAAGAGGCTCTATGCTCATTCACTTTTAGGAAGGACGTATTCGCCTTTTACCGACAGGCTGTTTGTTTACACTCCCCCACCAGCTTTCTGTCGTGCTTACTACGTCACAGTCAGTTGCACTCATTGGTCAGAGCATTGGCCAATAGGCACAGACATGGTTTAAAACAACGGGTTGTTCTAATCAACAATCTTCCGATGTCTCATTCATCGGGGCCAGACTAAATTACGCATTTAATCTCACATTTAGTCTGGTTTATCAGGGTAGGGCTGAGCGATATGGATTCAAAATCAAATCTCATTTTTTTTTCTTACTAAATCCAATCAAGAGATTTATTTCTCACTTATGTTTCATGATTAAAATGATAAATGACATAGATTACTTTCAAAAACTAGCTTTTATTTCAACAATCCCTGTAATTCAAGCTGTGAAAAAACCTGTAAAACAATGGGCCTCATGCAACAACATTTCCATATTTTCATTGTACATTTCTTTTACTGTTCCTTCTACAAACACATCAGATTCAGCAAACCTTCTTTACTACAGTTAATGATCCTTGTAACCCTGATGCAGTCCACCTGTGAGCACACATGAGCACACGTTCCAAAAAAATCTCCATCTGTATAACTACGGCCCCCATTATTCCACATAAGGCTACGACTTATGCGACTGATTGAATTTCATTTACAAACTTCATTTATCTAAGTTTACAACTTGTAAAAAATCAACTTGATTCAATTACTGATAAAAGCAAATAAATTTAAGTTGGAGCAACATTTTCATCTAGTGTGTTGTTCTTCTGAGCTATGGAAGCCCAAGAAATGCATTGGAGAACAATTACTTTTCATATTTTTAATAAAGTCGATGAATCATCCCGCCCTAAAATCGGGTGATTTTGTAATCTATACTTCCAAGAATGAAACATAGAAAAGCTCACCTGCTGACTGAGCTTCTTCAGGTAGGAAATGACGCTATAACTCAGGCCACAGTCCATGGTGTCTGCAATGAGGTTCGGTGCACCCATCATCCTCATTGCCTTTTTCAGCGGCTGTCAGAAGGTAGCAGGACTTTAGTTAAATAACTTTAAAAAAAGCTAAACAACCAAACCAACTGCTGAGGAGTTTGAGAGTATCTTACCAGCAAGTAGTATGGAGGCATCGTCTTCAGGTACATCTCCAGAGCCTGGCGCCACTTCAGGTTGGGTTTGAGTTTGTGGACTTTAAATAAATCATCTGAAAGAAGAAAAAAAGTTTGTTGTAGAATTGTGAGCAAATTAATCATTGATTGATGCTCCTCTCAAAAAGAACATTATAAAAAAAAAAAAACCTTTAGCAGCACCTAAAGCAGAAAGTGGTATCTGGTAAACCAGCTGTAACAATGAGACAATGGTGCAATGTATTTGGAAGCTGTCCAAGTATATATCTTTATAGATGAAGACAGACAGTGATGTGTTCAACAGCAGTTCGTCATGAAACGCAGGACACAATCATAAACAGCACCTGCTTCAAAATGGAGCGCTAAGGGAGATCCTTCATCCCTGCAGCTAACATCCTCTACAACGACTGGTTGGGGGAAAAATACAAGTTTCAACAAAAATTACCCTCCCTTTAGGATCAATAAGGTGTTTTTAAAATTAGCCAATGCTGCGGTGCTGATCACCACTCTTTACTAAACAGGCACATTTCTCCTTTTTTAATGTTTTCCCCACCTTTAATCTAAAACTTTTTCCAATTTTTCCAGATTTTTCCACTTTGAATGACATTAAATAGCTAAATGCTAACCTCTACTGCTTCAAACATCCTGAAATTCTCTGCAACTCCTCCACTTAGAAGGCCTGTTAGGCAGAGGTCTTCATCATGAAGGACACAACCCCCCCCTAGTGCGTTACAGAGGTACTGCAGACTGTAATGTACTTTCAGGTGGAGGTTGATCCTAAAACCATCTGAACAGGTTAAATCTTGGTCAACAACTATAAACCATTTGTCAGAAACATTAACACTAAACCTCCATGGAAAAAAAGTTAAAGAAGCCTGATCTAGAGTCTCTCTGAGAATAAATATAAGTATTTGTAGGGATACTTTAAAGCCATTTCTTGATTTAAAACAAACATTTTTATGCTTTATTCTTTTAGCTTATTTTAAATGAAAGTGTATTCAGTTTGTAAACTGAGCCAAAAGACAGGTAAAAAAAACACACACACAATATGAAAAGTAGATAATTAGAGAACAAATAGATACATTTAAATACAAATAAATGTTGTCATGATCTTGGCACTGATGACTGGTTTAATTATTCATTCCATTCACCTGTCCAACTCTGACCGATTTCTAATCACTGCTCATCTGATTCACCTGTTCCTGCCTCTATTTAAGGCGCTTGCATCCAGTTATCAGGGCAGATTATTCTTGTTCTCTCCAGCCAGTGGTGAGAGGGTTTTTGGCTTTCCTTAGTGTTTGATTTTCTGATCCTAAACTGTTCGACCTCTTAACCTCTGAGGCTCCCTGTTCCTTCTCTGATCTGTTTCCCAACTTGGCTTCGGACTCCTGCTTGTTCTCTGTCCTTTGGGGCTGCAGCATCTGGGACACTCTGGGCGGCGCCTGTCACATCTTGGATAAAACCACTGAACCAGGTTAGTGACTCATGTTCATAATCTTCCTCCATTAGATTTACCTGGTCACTAACCTGTGTTTCTCTCCTGCAGAGTTACCTGCCTCAGACGCCCTAGCCACTGCAACTACAGAACTGCAGATCCTTGGTTTTTAAATAAATGCTTTTTGAGTAAACCCACTGTCTGACTTAACTCAAATACTCGGGCCTTCTGTTCTGAATCTTGACAAATGTAAAGTCCTCTGCTTCTCTATGGATGATTTAATTTCTGTCCTTTGGAAGTGAAAGATTGAAAAAAAAAAGTCCAGAAATCCAACATATTTCCATTACTAACCAGTCCTGGAAAATTATCAAATTCCCATACTTTTCAGGGCTGTAAAAGGGCTTCTCCTTTCCTTCCTCCAAAACTAAATCCTATTTAGAAATAAAACTATAGCCGATCAGCACATGCTGCTACCCAAAAGTGCTGCTTTCTTACCGAGGAGCGGGAGAAGGACGGGATAGTTGTAAGGCATGACGAATAGATTGACGCAGGTCAGGGTGGTACTGGCTTTAAGGTAGCCAAACGGCTTTCCCAGGTCGCTTTGCTTCCCGCTGCTGCTAACAAAAACCTGAGAACAAGGAGGAAAATCACAACAAACGTCATTATGGTTACCGGACCTTAAAATAAATAAAACCCAAACATACGAAGATGCATGAACCAAGTTTACTACTAAATATCAGGTTTTTAAGAGGAGCTGTGTTCGACAGACCTGCCAGCACATGTGTGGGGACTTCCTTTCAAGGATGTACTGGGTGAGTGGCGATGGCTCCAGCTCATACTTGTCGAAGGGGAGTTTGTCAATCACCATGGGCTCGCAGTCCACACACGAGAACCGCACCACGGGGTGAGCAGTGCGGGGCGGCTGAGGAGGAAATCAGCACAGCGGCTCAGTTTGAACAAATCCAACAAAACTCCTGTGAGGCTGAAACGGCAGCCTGAATCTAAACCGCTCACCAGGGTTGGAGAGTTCTGGTCTGGCCAGAACGACTCTGGAATGGGCCAGTGGCCCACCGGGACCCCCGTCTTTGGGTTTGGTCGAACATAGATCAGTTTATGGCAGCTGTGCCAAGGCTGTGGGTTAAAGGAGGAAACGGGCCGACTGGACTCCACAGAGTTATCTGCAGATGGGAACAGCCAAAGGGATCAGAGGTCAGAATTAACAAGATGGAAGAACTGTGAGTCAAACATTCACCTTCTCCTCCGAGAGGTGGATCCGGCCCGGTCTTCTCAAAGTTGATGACGACTCCGCTTTGGACCTTTTGGACTAGAGACTCCAGACACTGGTTCAGCATCCGTTGCGTTCGCACGCAGTACGACCGTCCTGAAAGGATCAAACTTCAGACCGAGCTCTTGTCCGGCAGAAGGACGTCGATGGAAACCAAAGGAGAGGAGAAAAAAAAAGCCAAACCTCCGGTGACCTCACACATCTGGGTGATGGCCGACTCATCCGTGGGGACGCTGCCGAGCTGCTCACTGTCTGGCGCCGCCGCTCCGGGCAGCCTCAGCACCAGCGCGAACAGCCTCTGGTCCCAGCGGAAAGGCTCTTTGGTGAGCTCGCTGCCGGCCAGGGGAGAGTTGAGCGGCAGATGCAGCTAAAAGCAGCAGGTTAGAGATAATTGGCTGTTATTTGGACACAGAGAAAAGATCTGGGAAACCGCAGCTGGACGGCGGTGTTATTGCATCTCTCACCTCATCCGGCACCCCGGAGCTGTTTGTCAGCTTATTCCCATCGGTGATGGTGATGATCACAGATGGCTCCAGGAAGAATGGGTTACGGCCCTGAAGGGAAACAGGTAGCAATCAGCCTGCAGAACAGTAACTCTGAGTATGTTCCTTTACATCCAAAAAAACCAAACATCTTAACAGCTTTACTGGGTCAAACTTAAGACAAAATCCTCCCAGTAATTACACTGTAATAACCATTACATCTCTGCTAACCCAGTAGGACAGTAACATCAGCCCTCTAGGATCTTTGCTTTGTCTCTGAATTTCCTTGTCCGCGTCAAGGGTCAGTCTGCTCTAACGCCACACATGGGAGATGCCAAAGTAGATTTTCCTGCTCCTGATTAGGGTTGTCACGATACTAAACTTTTTAACTCGATACCGATACTAAGGAAAATATTCGATACTCGATACCATTTTCGATACCACAAGGATACAATTTCAACAGAAATATTTTGATTAATAATTAAAATACAATAAATAAATAAATACAATAAACAATAAGAACAACATTTTGAGGTTGTTTGCTGTGCACAGTATTTAGCAAGCTTGATAACAAACTTACAAAATTAAAATTAAGTTTTCCTTACTTGGCTATGCTTTGCACACATAACAATGACACTAGCCAAACCAGTTAAGAAACAAAAATAATTCTCAGCAGCTGCACCTGTTACAAAAAAATCTGAAACTGAAAAGTGCACAGAATTATTTAATCACACAGTGTTCAGAAAGTGCATTTTCCTCTATTCTGCACTTTAGATGAATGACTGTTTAGGTGCGACTGGCACTCGATACTTTTGAAAATGAGTATTGTATCCAGATACAACATTTCAGTATCGATACTTTTTTGAGTATCGATACTTTTGACAACCCTACTCCTGATGTACAGAAAATGTCTCGCTGTAGTTATCTGTCTCTGTCTTGGAGTGAGCGGGTTCAGAGAGGAGGCCAGGGGAGAAAATTATTTTATCTGAGGAAAGGTTGAGTGGATTAGGTGACAAGAAAAAGTCTATTTCCTCTTGGCTATTTTAAGTCAGAAGGAGGAAAAGGAAAGAAAAAAAATGAACAAGTAAAAATGTCTACCATCAGAAACTAAATTTGAGGAGCTAAGGCTGGGGAGGCTGGAGTTCAAATGATTTTCACTGATTTAAAAAGGAATTTCTCTAAAAATTGTTTTCGTTTTATAGAAAATTCACAGCTTGGTCCAGAGGTTTGTCCTCATTTTGGAGCTGGGTGATGCTCGATCTCATTATCCTCATCATCAAATTCAGAAACATCATCTTTGTGTTCATCACCATCAGAAACAATTCCTGGGTCCTCTGTAGCATATGGCTATCCAGCTAAGCTATATTTATTTATATTCCAGCTATATTTATAGTGTACCACCTTCAATTAGCATCAGACAGAGTGAGAGAAAATTAAGATTTCCAGAAGACAGAGGACTTAATGTGCAGGGAAACGAGTCCAGACTGTTGATGATTGAATTTTATGATGTGTAGCCATAAAAGCTATATTCTGATTCATCTTCTTTGCCAAAAATGAAAATTGGTCCCACAGACCTGAATATTTCATAAAAGCTGAGGGTACTCTCCTGATCTCTGAAGTTCACCAATGCTTATCAGGCTTTACTTTGTAGTAAACATAGAAAATAGTTCAGACTGAGAAGTGTTTGTAGTTATGGTGATATAAACATTGAGTCTTCTTACATATTCTGACCATTTTTGTTTCCCTGAATTTCTTTTAAATAAAGCTTACATTAAAAAATCTAATTCATGAAATAAAACAAGCTGTTTTCTAAATGAGGATTTCTTCTTCATAAACACGGCCATATCTGAAAAAAATAATCCCGTTATTAACTCAAACTATCTGGATTGTTTGGAATCAATTTAACAAGCCGTCCATGCAGGATAATTGTCTAACTTGTAGAGTCAGGAAATCGCTTGAAAAGAAGAAAAACATATGTGACGACAGGAAGCAGGATCTCAGTGAGCAACACATCATGCCCCAAGGTGAAAGAGATGTTCTTCAGACAGAGAAAATGGTGAGAACCAGAGGACGAAGGCTAGTAAAGAGAAAAACACCAGGATGACGTTGCTCATATGCCTAGTGGGGATCATTTTCCTCCAATGATTCAAATGGGTGTGTACTGGAATGGCAATGACAATCAGAAAAACACATCTCTTTCTTTTGGAATAAAACTTCTTTCTGACCAGAGCGGATCAGATTTGCATCTTCAGTCTGACATGTTTACATGAAACATTTCGGAGCTGATCAGGCCTCAAATCCCATAATTTGTGTCCATGTAAATGTTGCTAATGCTGAGTGCTTGTTGGCAGTTATTGTCGCCATTAGCCGGTTCAGGAATAACGACTGCTTGTGTTTCTAAATTGGGTCAAGCTTGTTTGAAGTTTTTCCAAAATGTATAAAGTCATAACTTAAAGACGGCTTTTTATATTAACTAAGGTTATCTTTGTCTAAATAAATTAAAATAACGTTTTTTAATAATTTTTTACTGATTATTTCATAATGAAATTCATAATATCATCGCGAACGTATTAGTTGTAGGTATAAATAATGATCTATAAATTATTTCTTGCTGACCGGACTGTTCCTTTAAAAAAAAAATATCGCTTTATCCGTAGACTTGTGTAACACTTTTCAATTATTATCATGTAAGCAGAGGAAGAAAAATAAATTTGGGTAAAAAAACATTTAAAAAAATCTGCATCACATATCCAAATAATCAGCATCAACCTGTATGGATCAATCTCTATTTTCTTAAATGATATGGGACTATTAGTAGGTTCAAGAACAGATTAAATATATTAAATAAAGGCATGTGCTGTAAAATATGGTCACACTGGTCCACTTAGTATAGTTCAGTATAAAAAGCACCAAATGAAACTGGGAGAAATAAACATCAACTGTTTATTCTTTTGCTGGTTAAAGATAATAAAAAAATGTCGATTTATTCTGTTTTTTATCACTTTATAGAACATAAGGGGTTTCCAAGGGTCAGTCAGAGCCCACCTACCTGTCCATAGTTGTCTATTCCAGATACAAGTCGGTTGAGGTTAAGCAGGTCAAAGGCTGTGCGGAGGGCGTGCCCTAACGTGGTGAGCCCAGACGCCTGCAGGTTCTTCAGCTCGCACATGAAGGTGGTGTGGTTCTCCTTCCAGCCTGCCTGAAACACAAACACCTTGAATTCAGAGCAACGGACATGCAGGCGTCTGAGAAGGCCTGAAGTCTGGGAGCAGGGGAAGAGCAAGCGACCAAAAATAGATGAGCACCCACACATTTTATTACAAAGGAAACCAGAGTTTTCCTCTCCTCTCAGGCAAATCGAACCTATTTAATGATTCAGATCCCTTTAGGGCTAAGGAGTGATGTTCCTTTGCAGGCATTCAGCTCTGAGCGACACAATCAAACTGCAGGCAAAGGGAGCAGAAGCTGTTAAATGTGCAAATTCAGAGTTGACTGCTAGTTCATACATAACAGGAATCCAGAAATACACTCCGCCGCTGCTGAACGTCTGCAGTGGGAGAACTGTACTCCCACAGGAGGTAAGCGTGCAACTGCTTTTCCACTTTTATCTACGGGGTCAGCCGCTTAAGGACTGCAGCTTTATGCTTAATCTAAAGATGTCTCCTTCTGCTGAGAGAGGGAGGCTAAGAGGCTTCAGAAAGGTGGATGGCAACAGATTTCTAGATTCTTGTAGAAAATGATTCCACATGCATAAATGTAACATTAAAATGCAACAATCAGAGTTGCAGGAAGTTTGTATAAATACATAGTAATAACCTCAGAGTTACCAGACCATAATTCAGACTACAGAATATTTCTGCACAAACCTTTCTCTCGGCTGCCTCTACATCCACTATTTATCGCATTGTGAATGTGCAATCACACTAGCCCCGATCACTATGACCTACTCATTTCACTGTAAAGCTCAGAGCAGAGAAACAGCCAAAGGAGGGGGGGCGAGAAGAAGAGACAAGAGAGCTGCTCAGGACAGACTGCAGGATGAACAGCACCTTGGATGGTTTTTATCGCAGGCAGAAGAAATCACATTCTGGTTTATTTAACTGAGATGTGACTCACAAACACACGTCTGTTAGCCACATTAACAACTCGCTGTGAACGCTGCAGCACCTACTTGCAATTCTTTTGTTGTTGCTTTACTTTTGCGAGCAGTGAAATTCACACAGCAAGGTTTAGGGATATGAGCTAAGAACTGCTTTTTGATGTGGTTTACACGACAGAGTGAAGCTTTGCAGAGAAACTGCTAAAGTCAGCAGCTTTTCAATCCTCTTCTTTAGTTACTGACAGGTTCCCTCCCCTTTACCATTACATTTTAAGAGACAGAAGGGTTTACTTTAACAAAGTGCATTTAATCCCGGTGTGTATTGTGAATGCAGAAGTATACTGCCAGTCACACAAACCCTTAGTGTGTTTTTATCTATTTTATGCACTAGAATGCTATAAAGAAGGACGTCTCAAATTTAGTCACAGGACTGGATTTTGACTAGGCCGTTCTAACGCGTTATTATATTAGTGTTTGACAATAAATGTTCAGTTTTTGATTAGGAAACAAAATTTGAACAACAAAAATAAAGGAAGACTTTGAAATTCCACTTGAGAAATTATATAACAGGAATTATGAGTGGCCACTGTTAGTTAATAACACATTTCTTAATGATGGAGATGAGAACTTGATTTGTTTGGGTTTTTTGGGGGGTTGTACTCAATCAACTTTCTTATTTAAAATGGTTTTGCAGGTGGGTTTTGTACACAAATATATTGCTATTTAATAAAGAGAGATTATTCCAAATAAAACAATAAAGAATTAATAACAATCCACTGGACTTTGTTTCCAAGTTTTAAGACGTTTCGCTTCCCATCCAGGGAGCTTTTTCAATTTAAAATGTCAGGAATAGCGTTGAGTTCGAGGTTTTATACAGTATCCTATCAAAATAAAAGGTATAAAACCTTGAACTCTACGCTATTTCTAACATTTTGAATTGAAAAGGCTTCCTGGATTGGAAGCGAAATGTCTTCAAACTTGGAAATAAAGTCCAGTGGATTGTTTTTAATTTTCTTGTTTTCAGAATGGGTACGACCTGGATAACTGAGAAACTTCACCAATAAAGTGAGCTTACTAATCCATAATTTAGTTTAATTCCTTAGGATCTTCAGTGTTTATTCAATTCCAAATTTGGAAAAGTAAATACTCTGATTGTTTTCCTATCCTGCTTTTAAAATACCAAATCACTGTTGCTCTGGCTGTAAGATCAGAGTTTCTGTTCTGCTTAAGAAAGAGCATTTCCACAGCATCATGCTGCCATCACCATGTCTTACTGTGGGCCTGATGGGTTCGAAGGATGAACGTTATTTATCCACCTTGTTTTTCTTTGTTTTTAACAAAACCGCCTACAAAGTCAAATACAAACACTCTACATGTTTGGAATCATTACTACGTTAAATTAATCCTTTTTGTTTTTCCCAACCCAATTTGAAAAGGTGTCTTACAATAACTGATTATATTGTTTTGCTGTTAGTAATATTTGTGCATGTGGCGTCGAATATCAGCTCGATATTGTTTGTGGTTTGTAAAATCGAGAAAGGGAAAACCTGCTCTATTTTTTTCCCCGTTTATGACAAGCTGTGTATGAGGCACGGCAAACGTGAGGTCTCAGATAACAATGCTGTTTGCCTCCGACATACGATCACTGTGGTGAAATATGCTGTATGGATAGTTTTGTTCAGCAGAACAGTGGAGCTGGTCAGAGAGAATAAAATGATTTACGGAAGCCAAACCAAATGCAGCCCTGAATGAGAAGCTGCTGAAGTTCTGCAAAAGACCCAGGACGGGGAATGTATACAGTCAGAATAACGTTCATATCAATGCATGTTATTTAAGTGGAGTATAGATATAAATACATTTCACTGAATACTCGGGAGGTTGAACTTCTGTAAATTATTGGTAAAATATGAATTGTTAAGCTAAATGTATTAATTAAACTGCATTAAATATGTGCCTGATTTTATGACTATTTTGAGCATCAATCAACTGTTTATTATGCCTGTCGGCCTCTATGAGAAATCCCTGTTGAGGTTTGAGCCTCTGTCTGTTTAAGTAAGGAGTGAGAAAGTAGAGCCTGTTTGGATAACTTAAGGATTTTTGACTGACAGTAGCCAGACAGTTAGGAGCTTTTCCTCATGAGTCGAAAGGAAAAAGGATAATTCAGTCAGAGCATTCATCCTGAGCTGAACTCTTGCTGTGGTTTCTGGAGTTTATTATTTCAGAGAGCTTCACAACAGCTGCTTTCACCCATTCTAGGGATGTGTTTTATGTGTTCAACATTTGTTAATGCAACGCGTGACATTTTTGAATTAATTAACAGCAATGAACCTCCCTTCCCCTCTGCAGCCGCCGCTGGTTTGAGCTTTTTTTTGTCAAGAACAGACAAAATATCCGTCTCTAAACGAGCTTAACTGGTACAGATGCTAAGTTTGAATTAAATTAGGTATACAATCCAGATTTGTATTTATTTGGAAATAAAAGTCATAAATGTTCATACTTTTCCTTACTTTTTACAATTATTGCCTGCTGCCCACACAAAATTCAAATTAAAAACAGACTTTTGAACTATGATATAACAAATTCTTTAAAAGTAAAAGGGGTACGAGTAATTTTGCCAGGCCAAACTTAAATTTGCAGACACTGGTTATGCCGTCCCGGTGAACCCCAAACAGTCCCTCTTTTTAGGGGTAGGGGAAAAAAAAACTCAGACATGTGCCAAGTCATAAACAAGTTAATAGAATAGGGGTGAGCTACATCTTGTTATGACATGTGAATTGGTGAAACTGCTGCAGAGTGAGAGGATGTCCTTTTTCCCACAGTATTTGGTAGCTTCTATTCAAAGGGGTGGTGGGGGGGAGGGGTCTTAGCATCAATATGAAAAATAATTATCATCTAAATGATGATTATTCCGTTGCAGCCAAGTATTAGAAACATAAAGAGTCTCATGATGAACGGGGCCTTATCAACTTTCATCCAGTAACAGGCCAATGGGAGTGCAAGGGTGGACACGAAAAATGGTTGGCAGAGTCTTCCACCAATCAGCGTGTAGTTCTGTGAAAAACGGGGGACGTCATGGAGGATAATACATTTCCCCGCCTCCACCTCAACGCCCGGAGAGTTTTGCTCGACACAAAAGCAAAATGTCCGCTGGTTGTTCGGATGCAGTGCGGCTCCTGGGTCTGCGGCTTTATCAGAGCATTAATTTGCCGTTTTCAACTTGGCGGAAAAATAAAGTCTCACTGACAGACACACGTTCGACTTGGAAATGTGAAAAAATGGTATCATTTACTAATTACCTTCACTCCGTATGGTGGCTCATCGAATGTAACTAGCATGTACCTGTCGCCTCTACTAGCCGGGTCTCGGGCACGCAGCTGTCAAAAAAAAAAAAAAAAAGAAAACCAAAAACAGCATATATTATTTTTTTTAACGATTTTTGTCAAGGAACCCTGAGTTCACCAAAGGTGGAAGCTTGCTGAAATATAAAAAAGTCCGGGTAGAATCCATCTTTACCTTCATAAAGATCTCAACCGCGCCTTTAGCAACGTCCAGATACGTCGTACCCAAATAAGTGCGCTGATTCATAGAAGCGGACGTGTCTAACAGAAAAACTAAAATAGGCATTTTAAATTGAAAGCCGCGGAGGGATGCTTTTCTAGAATAACTGCTACCCACATATGAGCTATCGTGCAGCCAAACAGTTTACTCATTTGTGCGTATATATTTGTTATAATAAGCCCACCCCAAGGCAGCGGGCCGATGCATCTGCCCTTTCTGTGTCTGCCTTTCTGAAGCTGCTTCTCTGCTCGCGCTGTTAAACTTCTGCTCCTAACCTAACGGAACCGCCCCTCTTCCCACACTGCAATTCCATTGGCCGAGCCCCAGCGCTTTGACCACGCCCCCTGAGAACAGAAAGATATAAAAAGGTAGTAACGGTTACAACGCACGTTCGCACTCTGTGATTGATGGTCGGTGTCAATTAGCGGAACAAACCGTTGATAAAATATCTGATAGCTCATGTAATCCATCTTCATGGGCTGGGGGAAAGAAAAAGGAAAAACTAACGTTTATATCTGTAAAAGAGGTCATAATGAGGTCCCACTTCATCCCGCCTCCTAGCAGCTGCTCTCTCACAATGTTGTCCTTCTTGTGCTGCCTTCACGGAGCTTCAGAAGGCTCGCAAACGCAACACGAGAGGAAAGTACATTACGCCCCATGAACAAGACGTTAAAACCGTGTTAATATATTGAATTATATAATTATAAAGAGTAAAAGACGTACTCTTGTTTTGAAACAAAAAAAAGAAAAGATGTAAAAGATCATCACTGGATGTTAAAATAGGTTAAAACATTAAACATTGGCTTACATCATCTTAACCAAATCCTGACTATAGAATTTAAAAATCCGTTTTCGTTTGGCTTGAATTGTAATTCTTGATTGAGCTTTATTTTTTTCTTAAGATAACTCACTTCTGCTTATTATTAGTCAGTAACAGTGGATCTAGGGTTAGGCTGTGTTATGTTTTTTTAAACAATTGTGCATTTATCATAAAATAAGACTAAAAGCTTATTGCAAATTTAAGGCATAAACAAAAGCACAGCATCAAATGATTTGTTTTGCTGCTTCTCTACAACTGTAAAACAAAACAAATCTGTTGCATATAAACAATAAATAGTTATGCAGGCTAATAGATTAAAAAACAACCTCTCTCTGAGTATAATAACATCGGATGTCGGTGGGGAGGAGGGTGGGTGTCCATAAATCTAGACGTAGCGTTATAAAATGATAAACACGTTCCTGCTGCCCTCCTCCGTCCCAGCATGCACCGCGCCGTCTGCAGCATAAAGGAAAAAGGGCTGAAGAGAAACAACAGGGTGGGATTACAGCAGACTGCTGTTTCTTCGGGTATTCCTCATCAAATCTAATGCGACAAGGTAACTTCAACCCGCTGTCATTTCCAAACACATCTGCGTTTTCTTCCCTGCTACGACACGGCTTCCGTCCAACATTTATTAGCTTAACAGTACGAAATATTCTAGCCGGTTTATGCTAGGCTAATAAACAGTGACATTATAATGCTGTAAAGATCTGTTTACATCGTGGCAAGGCCGATACTACAAATATTGAAGTTAGTTTTAGTTTATAACCACCACGATTACATTATTTAAATAATATTTATAACTAAGACATTGTAGAAGATAGAATTGTATGCGCTTTTTTAGTCGATATTACGACTCTTTTTTTCTTTTCTTTTTTTGGTGTGGATAAATAGCGTCAATCGGGGGACATTAAAGTATTTAAATCAAAGACAAAAAGCCATGTATAGAAAAGATAACTCTCGGCCCATAAGGTCGTGATTTTCTCGTTATAATTATCAGCAGCATAACAAAAAGTGTTGCGACATTAGCCTCGGCCCTACAGCTCTAACCATGTAACCATGTAAACAGACCGCGGGTCACGTGACCGCCCGCTTGGACTCCACTTGTCTGAAGGGTTGATCTCTATAACAGGTATTTTATGTTTAATAGAGGTATATAAAGGGCTGTTGCTTGTGTTATGGTTACATTTGTTAAACTCACTATCTTGTGTCCTACTTTTTCTACGATAATTCTTCTAAAGTACACAGATAAAAATGACAGCAAATCATTCCCATGGTTTTCATGGGACATCTTGTCAGTTTTTATAGCAGGGGTCACCAATTAAAAATCATTGGGGTACGAATAAAGAGACATTTTTTTATTACAATCCGTTACTTTAAACAAAATTTAACACAGAAATAAAATTAGGTGTTCATGCGTCCATGTTATACATTGAATTTTTAAATAAAAAAAAAATAAAATAAAGTAATTCCTGACTCTCATATATTATAAAACACCAGAACTAATCGTTTGTTATTTTTTCTTTTTTCTGGCTTAATGAGAGCAGTGGGCTTCCGTTTCCCCTATAAGGCTTTAAACCTTGGTTTGAATGGAGACAAAGCCATTCTAAAGCTATTCCAGGCTCATTCGTGAGCTTTTTTATTCCCAAAAACTAAGACCGTTTGTTTAAATGATTGGATGCAAATTATTGGTACTTCAACATATCAGGAAGCAGATTTCTCATCTCCATCAAGATATTTATTTTATAGTGAGAGGCTTCAAAGTTTCATCAAATCCAGTCAAAGCGCCCAAGAGCACCTCTCACAACTTCAAAAGAAACTTCTCCTCTCAGGCCTGGATGAAGAGATGCTGAGTTTGGAAGCAGAGAACAAACATAGTTCATATAAACCATGGATGAGCCTAATTATCCCTGTTACAAAAATCCACAACCAAACGGAAATATTTGGGCAGAAACTGAACATAATTATGCTGCCTGGATAATGGTGGGGATTTTTTAAATATGTTCTATTAAATTAAGCATTCATTTCCGTATGTTTTGCTCCTGAATTTAATAATATTATAGCTCATGCTCTCCTTGAGCTCTGAGGAAGTCAGAGCAGAACAAGATGGGGGGAACAGCGGAGGCTGTAGGCTTTGCTTTGCGCAGGAGGTCTGAAGCGGAGCGGAGACGGAGGATGTGGGATTTCAGGATTAGACACTGTCGTCAGATTCCAGATGTGTTAATATGTAAAAAAAAATAAATATGCATGATTAACTATTTTCCGGCCATTACTGATTCACAGTTTTATTTCTGATCTGATCCATTAACTAAATTTTTTAACAACCTAGATTTTATTTTCTTGGTAGAATTACACCACAGAAAACCAGACTAAATATTACATTTCAATCCCTAAAGTTCTTTTTAATAACTGTCTATTTGAATTAAACAGAAACTTAAGGAATTAGTTAGGGGTACATGGACCAATTTCCTTAATTTTACACGATTAGCGATCAGTCTAAAAATGAGTCAATATCAACGCTCTAAACTTTTCATTTATATTGCAGAGCACTACCTAATGTACAGGTATAACAAGTCTGTATTTCTTCCCACTTGTATTCTGTGTTTTTCCCCCAGTAAGATAATTAAAAGATTATAACACCTGACAGTGTCAGTTCTAAAATAAATCTGTATAATGAAATGGAACCCTCTTTTATTTCTATTATCAAAATATATGCTCATAAACCGTGTATATAACCACTCGAATAACACCAAAGAATAAATGATTCTTCAGGTTTTTGACCCTTTGAGAAAAAAAGGAATAAAAACGCATTTGAGATGCGTTTTTATGAGATAAAAGTTGCTCAAAAAATAAGATATTTGGTTCTAAGGTGCTGAGAATCACATCACAAATGATTGAGTTCACATTTTCCTTTATCAATATCGGAAACTATTTTTAAAACGAAGAAGAGATTGATTAATAATCAGTGACCTAGGAAGTGCATCAAATAGGCTTGTTTTTTACAGTATTTAAAAGATTTAGACAAACGTTTATTGTCGTTTTGTACACACAGAGTGTATTAAAAAAAAAAAATTAGTTTAGTTCAGCTTTTCAGACAGTAAATGAACATTTCCATTCCATAAAGTGCAGCAGTGATCAAATGTAAACGGTGTGGGAGAAAAAACAAAAGAAAAGACGCATATATATATATGGTGCATACAGGCAGTAGTTTTGGTTTGCATATTTGCACCACATACATTAATGCTCTGAACTTCCATATTAATGCAGAGGACTTATTTCTTAACTCATATGGCTTTGTTTGTGTTTCCGTTTACAGGAACATGTCATGCCCTCTGAGGAGCTGAGAGCGGTGCCTGTTTGCATGCGTCGGGGGTTTGCAGAGTTTGAAAGTTCCTAGAGAAGCCTGGGGGGCCCGGTCAGAGAGCGGACAGGGACGGGGGCAGAGCTGAGTTGGAGCCAATGCAGCAGCAGCATCGACAGCCAGAGCTAGCGGAAGGAAACCTTCCAGTGTTTGTGTTCCCGACGGAGCTCGTCTTCTATGCAGATGAGCAGTCGTCTCATAAGCAGGTGCTCACCCTCTACAATCCCTATGAGTTCGCCCTCAAATTCAAAGGCAAGTCAGCGAAGGGAAATTAATTCTATGCATTGAATGGAATCTTTTAGATTTTTCATGATATTTTTTTTTTTTTTCGATTCTCAGTGCTGTGCACAGCGCCAAACAAATATACTGTGGTTGATTCTACGGGAGCCGTCAAGCCACAGTGTTGCGTTGACATGTAAGTGAAGTATCTCCCCTCTTGTCTTCCTTCTATTCGGTTGTTCATAGAGCTGACGTTTCATTCTGGACAAAGAAATAGGGTCATTTTTTTCCACCCCCATGTCTACGCAGAGTGATCCGACACAGAGATGTGAGGCCGTGCCACTATGGCGTTTACGACAAGTTCCGGCTGCAGGTGTCAGAGCAAAGTCAGCGGAAAGCTCTGGGACGCAAAGAGGTGACGGCTACGCTCCGTCCCTCAGCCTCGCAGGAGCCACACAGCCCCAGGGCCCAAGATGAGGAGAGGCGGATTAAAGAGCAGTTTGCAGACAGCGAGTTTTATGAACAGACTGCATTTCAGACAGGTAAGAAGCAGTTACGATATATAACCTCTAGATGGAGCTAAAAACAATAAAATAATAAGTTCATTGCATGAACGCTCACTTCCTGGTGCTTTTAATCATCTGGAAATCTGAAAGCATTTTTGTTATGCATTTTTTAAAATATATTTTCACACATCTGCTTAGGTAGACAACAGGTGTTTATATTGAAATTACGTCTGAGACAAATTAAGCCTGAATAATCATTGAAAGCTGTAAAATAATATAAAGTGAGCATGTATTTGAACATTTTCTAATAAATAACATAAAAATAAATGCTACATTTTAAAGTCTAGGTTTAATTTTTAAATATATAGCACATTTCCAACAGTTCTAGCTGCACAAAGTGCTGACATGCAAAGTAGCAAAGAGTTGAAAGAAAAAAAATCACAGATAAAAAGAAAAAAAGATCGAGCACATAAACTGAAAAAGAGTTGCTAAAACTATCAAAACAGCAACAAACACAAACGACACAACGGATAAAAGAGAGGAAATGTTTAAGAAACGACATTTACGTCATCTTGTACTAAGAATCAGTACATTTCGATGATTTTAAAATGCTCCAGATTAGGTGCATATCTAATGTTAATAGGCCGGAGGTTCCAGAGCCACAGCAAAGGCTAAAATTCCTCAACACATAAGTTTAGATCTCGGAATAAACAGCGTTATCTAAGCCGTAGACCCCATGGTTCTTTTCGGAGCATGAATAAAGAGCAGCTCAGGTTGATAAGAGGGTGCAAGACCATGCAAAGGTTTAAAATCTGTAAAATTCATTTGCATTCTATAAGAGGCAGAGTGTGGATTTGTTCTCATACCAGCCAGAAGATGAGCTGCAGCAAATGGTACCAAATGGAGATGGACAAAAGAGGACTGGTCTAAAATAAGCATAGATAAGCAAATAAAAGACATGCTCAGATCATCAGCTGGAAGCTATGGTGTTACCTTAGCAAACTATGCAGTTTAAGGGAACCACCAAGAAAAACACCAAAGGTTTGGACATTATCCTTACAATAGAAGGATAAAGGGACCAGAGTGCTGTCTGTTAGAGAGTTTCTAAAATGCACCGCTGAAAGTTGAAATCTAAATAAGTATTTTTTTTCCTTACAATAAGTGCATTTTGTCTTGAATTGAGGAGGTAAGTGAGACACGTTGCCAGTGGAACAATTCAATTTATATTTAAAATAAGAAAAAACAATTGCATTGTCTTATTTCAAGTGGATATTATCTAATTATCTTATTGCAAGAATAGAAATACTCATTCCATTGGCAGATCATCTTATTTACCTACTTAAATTTAGGGTAAATACGCTTAAATTAAGACAATTTTTACTTATTTCTGGCACTTAAAGAACAGACAAAGATAAAGAGATTGTTTTGAGGCTCCAGTTATCTAATACTTTGCTTTCTTCAATACTAAAAATAAGCTTTAAGCTGCACAATATGTTACACTGCTGTAAATGTACCTCTTTAAAAGCAGCTCCAGCGTATTCTGTTCAAACTTTGTAATAAATTTGATCAATTAATGTATGATTCTTTTAAACAGGGAATTCCCAAAGTGGGGCGTGTGAGACGAAACATGGCGGTCTGATAATGACATAACTACATTTTTCTACTAACACAATAAAAAACAGGTGTAAATAAACGTTTCCTTTGTAAAAAAATAAATAAATAAATAAATCCAAACTGTAATTGTAATAAATAATTTATTACTGGTAAAATGAATTTATTTAATTAGAAGTATTTTTCTAGGCTAATGCTACGTTACCATGGGCATGTCTTCCTGCTGAATATAACCTCTTTGAAACAATGAGTAAATAACTTTATCTGATTAAAAACAGCTTTATCAAGGCCGAGGTTCACTCTCTATTATTGTTAATCTATGACTCTGTACCAATCTCCCGTGATCGGGTTTAAATCAAATTAAATTTGTGGTTTCTATTTTGCGGCGTAAATTGTTTCGAGATTTAGAATGAGAAGCAGGTAGATGAAATAGACGAAGTGAGAAAACACACCCTGGGAGATTATTAGAGCACCTTTAGAGACATTTAAGGTTTAACTGATCTGAATGTCTCTTTTATTTCTCTCACTGCACCTGAAAATCCTCAGGATCACATTACAGATATTGTGTGTAACTTAATTTGGGCCCCTTTTCATGCCCCTTTGTTTTAGTGAGGGACCCCACTATAAGGTTCATGTGGTTGTAGCATTAGCAACATTAGCTGTTAGGGATAGTGTTAGTTTGTTACACAATAGATAAAAAGCCACACAAGCAACCACATGATCTGGCGGCCTGCAGGTGAATCCCTAATTTGTGAAATCCCCCCTTTTGGGGTATCAGCAAGTCCCGCTAATGTTAGAACCATTCTAGAAATGCTGTAAATACTGGAGGAGAACCAAAATCACACTTTTTGGAAAGCTTGCACTTATTTGCTTTTCTGGTTTGAACAAAGACCCACTTTCACACTCAGGATTCCCCGGCAATGTTAATTTAAAGATAACACCAGCACCCCGGTGTTAACATAAAAAAAGTCTGATTTCGAGCTGCATTATGGAGCAAGAAAGTTCCGGGGTCTTTCTGCATGGAGTTTGCATGTTCTCCCTGATCATGCGTGTGTTCTCTCCGGGTACTCTGGCTTCCTTCCACAGTCCAAAAACATGACTCTTAGGTTAATTGGCTTCTCTAAATTGTCCTTAGGTGTGAGTGTGTGTGAATGGTTGTTTTTCCTGTTTGTCTCTGTGTTGCCCTGCGATGGACTGGCGACCTGTCCAGGGTGTACCCCGCCTCTCGCCCGTAGACAGCTGGATATAGGCACCAGCACCCTTCGAGGATAAGCCTGACAGAAAATGGATGGATGGATGGATAGATGGACTCCATAATGTATGATAATTCTAATTTGCTTCCAACATAAAATAGATCCAAATTTTGTCAGTAAAGATGTCGTACTTCAGGAGGCCTGAGTAGATATCAACATCCTAAACCATAACACAACCTGAAATGTAAAAACACATAAGAAATATTTGCTTTTAAGCATGACAACTACTCATTCAACCTATAGCAGATCTGTATTGTAGTTGGAATAAATGTTTATGGGTGTATTTTGGCCAATTAAATAAAACCAGAGGATCATAATTGAGCTTTTAATGAATACTTAAACCCTCTCTTTATTCACTGTCTGTAATTTACTGTTACTGTTTAAACCCTACTACCAGTCAAATGTTGCTGTCTGAATTTCCAGAGAGTCGTCCCGTTGCCGGAGGACCCAGTCTGCTCACCGTGCTGCTGGGACTCGTATGCATGATCGCCCTCATGCTCCCAACCATGGGGGAGCAGGAATCCACTGTGCCTGTCTACCTCCACTTAAGTGTTAACAAGAAACTGGTAGCTGCTTATGTTCTTGGTAAGATTGAAGAAGAAACCTCAAAATAATCACAAAATAAACTTCTTTCTAAGCATTGCCTTTTGTTCTGTTTGATTACATCTCAGGTCTTCTAACTATGGTCATCCTACGTACATGAAGTTGTTTTTGTGCTGAAAGGACGAGGATGAACAGTTTAAACCAGAGGAACGACTGCGCTTCCAACGAGTCGAGCTGACGTGGGCGTGGACGAGCTGACAAACACATTTGATCACATTGAATTCAAATACGCATTGTGTTTTCTAAGCTGTTACAAAAAAAAAAAGGAAGATCTTAAGACTTTCGCGACAGGCCCGAATGAGCCGGAGCGTAGCCATCTCTGAACACCCCGTGTGAAGAAAACGGTCCAGCGTCCCATGGACCTACGCGCATATTTTTTTTTGTCATGTTATGCCATCGTGTAACGCAGTAGGGTTAACGTGAGTGTGAAGAAATCGACATGCAAACGTGTATATAAAGCCATTAAAACATCGTCATGAACATTGCCCTGTAACTGTCTTTTAATGTTTTAAAAGTTTCCTAATGTAAGACTGAAGATGCTGCATTTTGGTGCACTTGTTGACTACTTGCTGTCCAGATACTTTTTATGAATCACCAAAGAGCTTCAAGATATATCAGAGCTCAATATAGTGTTATTACAGATGTACTGTGGTGCTAGTAGTTACAGAATACTACAGAGAGAACAAACCATGAGGATTCCTCTGGTTATATGTGTATTTCTGTATGTTTTACTTGTTTATATTAATTTAAATGTCCACAATTTTACATTTAAAGTCGTAGAGAAGTCATATTTAAATGTCAAATCAGTCTGGCTTGAACATGTATATAATTGCACTCTTTATCAAGAACCTTAACCAAGTTAACGAAGGACCCCCCGGAAAGTGAATGAAATGGTTTGTTCCCATCTTGACGCAACTGTCAGTGATGGTGTGCAACGGTCGGCATGAATGACACAAATTAAAGCACACATATATTACTTAATTATCCTTATGATGTTCTGTAAAAATTCAAAAAATATCCACTGGACTTGGTTTTCAAGATTTGAAGACGTTTCGCCACCTCTCCAGGAAGCTTTCTCAATTCAAATGTCTGGATCCGCAGTATCCAGACATTTCCAGGATCCAGACATTTGAATTGAGAAAGCTTCCTGGAGAGGTGGCGAAACGTCTTCAAATCTTGAAAACCAAGTCCAGTGGATATTTTTTGAATTTTTACGGAATGACTTTGACCTGGATGACTGAAAACCTTCATCAGCATACTATCCTTATGATGTAATTATTACCAAAAAAGCCTTCAATTGGACTTTAAGGGGAAACTGTAGCCTACTTCAGTCTGCATGGAAATGAGAGATTTTATTAAGATAAACCTCGAAATAATCTGAGTAAAAAGACACTCAACAATAGTACATAGACCCATTGTTTAGAGTAAAGGTTAGCAAGGATAGACAATATTAATGTATGTTTACATATATTGATGATAAAAACCGAGTCAATAATATATTATAAATGATTAAATAAATCATTTATCTACGACTTTATAAGGTGGTGGCTGAAGTCAAAATATAGGGCTACCTTTATATTATTTTATATAAAATTGTCAGAATTCTATGTAATCAAACAATCCACTTAGGAAGCAACACTGACATCTATTTTTCATGCTGCTATGCAAATAGACAACAGATTGAATTGGCAATTATTAAGAATCACTGAATGAGTGGTTCTATAGGTGGGGACCACAGACCACTCAAAACCTCTGCTTTCAGCTGATGTTTTGGTCACTTTTAAATGTTGGTGGTGCTCTCACGTCTTTTGGCAAGAGACGGACTCTGCAACCCACACAAGTGGCTCAGGTTGTTCAGTTGATCCAGGATGGCACATCAATGCGAGCTGTAGAAGAAGGTTTGCTATGTCTGTCAGCATAGTGTCCAGAGACTGAGACAGGCCAGTAGACCAGGAGATGTTGAGGAGGCTGTAGGAGGGCAACAACCCAGCAGCAGGACTGCTACCTCTGCCTTTGTGCAAGAAGGAACATGAGAACACCCAGTGCCCTGCAAAATGACCTCCAGCAGACCATAAATGTGCATCTGTCTGCTCAATCTGTTAGAAACCGCCTCCATGAGGACGGTACAAGGGCCTGACGTGCACAGATGGAGGGGTCATGTTTACAGCCGAATACCATGCAGGACATTTGCCAGAGAACACCAGGGTTGGCAAACTGACCAATGGCGCCCTGTGCTTGTCACAGAGGAAAGCATGTTCACACTGAGCACGATGACGGTGAGTCAGTTATGGTTGAACTTCTAAATTAAATGAATTCATTTTTGTGGGTAAAAGTGAGGATATTGAAGCTTCTCTTTCCTACCACCACAAATGAACATGTTTAATTCAGATGGTGGCATTTGAATCAGATTAAAAAATTAAGTTTGAGCTTAAACAAAATAATCAAACACCCCAGAAAGGTTTGGAACAAGGGACGATTGTGAAGAAAACATAGTTTATGCAAATGCAAGGTAGAGGATCAGTGATGCTGTGGGCCTAATTCTATTTTAAGTATTCAGAGGAATTGTAAATTCTATTAATTAATTCATTATCAAATACTGGAATTAAAACAAAAATGTAAGTTTAAAATGGAATAAAGAATAACCTTTGTAAAAGTGTGATTTAGAAATGCATTTATAATCTGATTTATGAATTTTGTTTTTTTAAATCTCAATTAAGAAACAGGATCTGAAAATACAAATTCCAGTATTTAATTCTGGAATAATAAAAAAAAAACTTTACAATTACTTTTTAATAATTCAATTTAAAATCAGCAAGGCTTTTCAAATTGCCCGATTTGAATTTTTTTGTGTTCTTCTCCAGTGACTGTAGTTCCTCCATAGATGTTAACCTTTTAGACAAATCCCTGCATTGGACACAAAGAATCACAGAAACCCGTGAAATGATTGTGTGAAAATAAGAGAAAAAAAGTCGTTGAGTAAAAGATTTTAAACCAAACTCTTCATTAAATTAAAAAAAGGGAACACTTACAGACTGATTTACAATCAATTCACTTTGCACATGAACATTTAAGGCGACAGAGCAATGCAGGTCAATGGAGAATCAACACAGGAGAGTACGGACACAGGAAGCAGGAGAACCAATGAGCAGTTCTGGTGCAAATATCCAAGTGCGGCTTGAAACACTGCAATGTTTGTCTTTTCCTCTCAAACGAAGAAAACCTTTTACATCCTTCCTGCTCAGGACCGGGACACAGACCGGAGCACAGCTGGGAATCCTGTGCAACAAACCTAACGTGGATCTAAAGCAGCATCAGCAGCCTCTGAATCTCCAACTGCTTCGCGCCGAATGGTCCAGCACCCCGCTTATCTAAATTAGGTGGCAACCTATTAACATTCAATCATACCAATTTAATTTTTTCATAAATAACACTTTGCCAGAATAAAGGCGGAATCTTTCAACACATTCCGGACTTCAACCCCTCTCATCCCCTTAAGGGCAAACGACCACATTTAATCAATGATTTACTGTGAGCTGTATTATCTGCTCCTTCTGGCTTATTATGGTTGGGGAGTGGCGGCCTCGTGGTCAGGGCATAGAGCTTGGAATCCTGAGGTTCTGATTTCGACTTCCACTCCCACAGACTGCCACTGAGTCTCTGAGTAAAGACCCTTAACCCCACACAGCTCCCTGGGTGCCCCACGATGGCAGCCTACTGCTTCCCAAATGGGATGGGTTAAATGCAGAGGTTAATTTTTCCAATGTGAGATCAATAAAGTTCCAATATAAATTTTTTTTTTTATTATCTAAAAAGGAAGTAAATCTCAGAAAAAGAAAGTCACCACAGTTCACAGCCTATGATCAAAAAATATTCTGAAAATCCTCTCCAAACAAAACAGAAAATCTCCAGATGCACCCTGGATGAAAACTCCGGCCTATTCATCTCACACTCAAACTATATATATATATTTTTATATATATATATATATAAACTCACTAGATTTATATGTACATACTTACAAACAAAGCAGGAAAACAATAAGTTAGATCTTACAAAATCAGCAGACTGTACATACAAAGGCATCAGGGACGAAGTTTTCCAGCACACAGACACCATCAATGTCCAGTGCTCAGTGTCTCTGAGATGGGGGGACGAGTAGGACACAAATGGCAGGACAGCCAGTTATACACTATAGGACAATGCAGCTGAGCACCATCTAGGATGGTCAATAGCAGCTGGCGCTCACAGTGTTCAGTCAGCTTCACTCCCACCACCTCGCTGTGGCTTTTGATTCCTCAACTACAAACTATCTACACCCTCTGTGAAAGTCGCCATGACAACAGTGGTACAGAGGCAAATAATGGATGAGTCCATGTAAACTAAATGCAGGCCTAAAAACCAGGGGCTGGGGGCTTTGAGAAGGGCGATTCCCCGTCGACAGTGGAAGACGGCGTCCCGCCTCTGAAGCTCTCGCTCTCGATTCACTTTGGAGACAAATCCTGCAGGGAGGTAAAGGGCGAGTTGCTAGACGACGAAGGCGACACGCCCTCCATTTTACCCGGGGAATCCGTGGAGGAGCCGATGCTGCTGAGACTCCCATCCATTAAATCTGGAGAGTTACTGGGAAAGAAAAAAAAAAACATATTTATCAAATTGAAAACACTTTCTTTTATGAAGCCTTCTCAACCAAGTTATAAAAAAAAAAGTAAATAAATTCTGAGACTGTAACCAATTACTGTAGAGCTTAGCAACCTTTGTTTCTCGGGGGAAGGTTTTGGCTCAATGTGGCCATTCAAAATGGCTCTTCCCAGTCAAATGGCAGCCGACTCCCAGCCACTGGAGGGACTCCTCCTTCTGGGCATGCATATATTTTTTTACTCCGACTCCACCCTTTCACTGAATTACAGAATCAACCAGGAGAGGAGCCTAATCTTTAGACCTTGATGTCCACAAATTATGACAATGAATATTTTAGTTCAAAGACTGATGTTAAAAAAAGGAATCTTAGGGAACCAACCAAGGGTCTACCAAGGAAAGTGGGGACATTTTGAATGGTTACTACCATATTATGCAGGGATGCTTGACGGAGATTAGAATAGAATTTGAAAATAGATACATAAAACATACAGCCCGTTACAGAGGCTAACCAGCTGACTGAGGAGGCACATAATGTGGCAGCTTTGCATCCAGGGCCACTGCATCTTTACTGACTGCCTCCTCCCACTGGTCAGTCGTCAGTGTGACCAAGATATCAGGGACGTTTCTAACCAGGACAACCTGAACAGTTTTGGCCCATTTGCTCCCGTCTCAGATAATACTTGATCTACAACTGGATAGGTTTATATATTTCTTCTGTTATGCAGTTGTAGCAATTACATATAAAAAAAATTGCTGACAACCTATTACTGTGATGAGCTGATCCACTTTTTTGCACTTATCTGAATAACTGAATCAGGATTTCTGATTATCTGGACACCAGAGCTCT